AACCAAATGGTGCCCTGCACACCTACATCCAATATCCTGAGTTGGGCAGTGAATGAATTCATACAGAATCTGATCCCAGAAATTAAGAGCTTATTGTTTATTCAAAGAGTGAACATGCATGCGACATTGCAAAGAAAAAAATAAAGTGTGTAAAAATGCTGATGGCAGGAGAAATCCCATTTGTACAAGGCTTTGAGAAGAGATGATACGTTAGTAATACTGTGAAGGATGTGTAAGATTTGGATAATCTGAAAGGAGAAAGCAGAGCTTTCTGAGCGGGAGCGCGCGCGTGAGTGTGTGTGTGTGTGTGTGTGTGTGTGTGTGTATTCATTTTGTGAAATATAAATATAACCACTGACTATTTGCCTTTCTTCTTAATTATCTCATTACCTCTGAGCATTGGCAAGGGATACAGACACCAGGGTGAAGAGAGGCTGTCTGTGGGGGAACAAATGGAAAGGCTGCTGCTCTGTCCTCCTACTTCCTGCCCATCTCCAGCTGCCCTCTCTGCTTTTAGACATGGTAGAATTCGGATTACAAGTGGAGTTAACCTAATGACATACTTCATAGGGAGTAGACTGGTCTGAACCTTTAGTCTCAAAAAGATGATATGCAAACAAAACTGTAAGACCACAATATAGATAAAAGCCTCTCTGTTACGGGGCTTAAAAACTCCCCCAGAACTCCTTTCACAATATATATATTTTAAAAATGCTTGGGGAGCATAAGTGCTTTGAGAACCCCTGCTTCTATGAATTAATAACTAGGAGCAATCAGTTTTCACAAACACACTTTATGTTCATCTGTCTTTTCTAGAATACCTTAATTTTTTTAAAACGCTAAGCAAATATAATCTCATATTTCCCATCATGGAAAAAAAAAAAAGTGAATCAGAAAATCTGAATGACAAGCTTGTTTTTGCTCCTTCCCAGCTTATTAAGTGAACTTGGCTGAGTCATTCAACCTTTGAGCCTGTTTCTTTAACTGAAATAAAATTGAAAGATGTGACTAATCCTGTCCCTTTGATTTCACAACATTGGTATGATGATCAAAGGAAATACATATGCATAAATACTAAATCACTGTATGAAATATAAAAAATTGTTAAAGTTTCAGCAAGTTAGTATGTACCAACTTACATTTTCTTTGAGTGATTTTCATTGACATACCATCAAACCATGTGTAGAAAGCAAGTACTTTGCCCAAAATATTAAAACCTCTAGGCCCAGTAATTTCACTGCAGCATGCTACCAAACATCTTAAAGAATTAACTCTAATTCTCCATAATCTTTCAGGAAGCAGAAGGGGAGAGAACACTTCTTAATTTATTTCATGAAGCTAGTATTACTTTGATAATATTAGATAAATCCAGACAAAGACAGTACCAAGAAGGAAACCTACAGACCAATATCCTCATAAATATAGATACAAAACCTTCTAACAAAACAGCAAATAGAACTCAGCATATATAAAAAGAATTCTATACCATGATCAAGTTTATTCTAGGGATGGAAAGCTGGCCCAATTTTCAATTGTCAATCAGTATAATCTACCACATTACCAAACTAAAGAAGAAAAAGCATATCAATAAAATTAACATGAACTCATGATTAAAAAAGTGAATATGGTGGCTCTTACTCAACTTAATAAAACACAGGAACCTACAGATAACAGTATACTTATTGGAAAAGACAGTGCTTTCCCCCTTAGACTGGGAACAAGGTGAAGAGGTCTGCTCTCACCGTTCTTTTCAACATGGTGCTGGAAGTCCTAGCCAATATAATAAGCAAAGAAAAGGAAACAAAAGGCATATTTACAAGAAGTAGAGAAAGGAAACTGTAATTTCCAGATGACAGGCTTCTCTACAGAGAAAAGCCAAAGGAATCAACCAAAAAAGCCTTTGAATGAGTTTAGCAGGATCACAGGATCCACAAGTAAACATATAAAATTAACTGTATTTGCATATACTAATAATGAATAGACACCAAAATTAAAAATACAATGTAATTTTACAATCACTGAAAAAGATTATTTAGATGTGAATCTAACAAAACATGTATAGAATTTGTATGCATCTGAAAATTATAAAATACAATGAAAGATATCAAAAGGATCTAAATAAATGGAAAAATATAGGGAGTTCATAGATTGAAAGAATAAACATAGGAAAAATCCCAATTCTTTCCACATAGATATAATACAGATTTAATGTAATTCTTGTCAAAATGTCAGCAAGATATTTTGTAGATATAGAAACTTAAAAATATATATATATATATATATATATATATATATATATATATATATATATAAGACAAAGAAACTAGAATAGCTAAACCAATTGTGAAAAAGAAAACTAAAGTGATGGAATCAGTCTACCCCATTTCCAGATGGATCATAGACTTAAATGTAAATACAAAACTATAAAACTTTTAGAAAAAAACACACAGAAAGTATTCAAGATCTCTGGCTAATTAGATATTATTAACATGATATCTAAAAGAAAAAACAGGTAAATTAGTTTTCATCAAAAATAAAACCTTTTGTATGGTTTTGCAAAAGACTATGTTAGGAAGATGAAAAGATAAACTACAAACTGGGACAAAATGTTCACAAAGCACATTTCCAGCAAAGGACTAGTATCTCAACTATATAAAGAACTTTCAAAACTCAACTCAATAATAAAATAAACCAAACAATCCAAGTAAAACCTGGAAAAAAGATATGTAAAGACATTTTGCCAAAGAGGATATTCAGATGCCAAATAAGTATTATACATGAAAAGATTTCTAACATAGGTAATGATATGAAACATAATAAGTCATCAAGAAAGTTGGTGGAAAAGTTGAACTTCAGAATTCCTGTCCTTTCGGTTCATATTTTTCTAATTTATACCTGTTATATGACAGTAAGACTGATTTTTGGTCATGCTATTAACATTCTCCCTTGTTTTCTAAGGCACTGGAGTCAGCTGTGTGCATGTCTTCTCACCCCACATTCCTCTTTTCTCTGTGCTCCACTCGCCTACTCAGGATGCTTTCTCTGTCAGCAAAAAAGTTGAAGAGCTAAGTTTTCCTAGGACCCAGCCACACACATCCCTCAGGGCATGGAAGTTGAGATGCTAAGCATTTGCATGTGCTAGAGATAACAAAGTCTCTGGAACCATGGGCTTACAGTTTGGCAAGATCAGAAACAACTACAATTACTACAAAAATGGTATTGCTCTCCCATTGCTTTCCTTATTTTCCTGTAGCATCTTATGTACTAATTCTCAATATCTATAACTCTTTTTTTTAAAATATATATTTTATTGATTTTGTACAGAGAGGAAGGGAGAGAGATAGAGAGTTAGAAACATCGATGAGAGAGAGTCATTGATCAGCTGCCTCTTGCACACCCCCTACCGGGGATATGCCCACAACCAAGGTACATGCCCTTGACCGGAATCGAACCCGGGTCCCTTCAGTCCCCAAGCCGATGCTCTATCCATTGAGCCAAACCGGTTTCAGCTCAATATCTATAACTCTTACTGCCCACTTCTCCTGCAACAACTTTGTGAAGGAAAAAAACATATTCTATAATGTCAATCTTAGCTCAACCAACCGTCATTAAAAAGAACACTTGACAGAAATCACTCTCATTTAGAATTAAGGCCGAAAACTAGCTTTTGATTCACATTCTCATGTATGTTGAAAACACTCTCTTGGGAAATGGCACCAACGTGCACCTCACAGTTAGACGAATTACAGGAGGGAGGCTGGCTGAGCCCAAACCGCAGAATTAATACACCACAAGCAAAGGTCCAGCTTACCCTTTCAAAAAGGAGTCAGAAACTCAGAATGGCACTGCTGGTTAGTTCTCATGCAAGACTTAGTCAAGAAGCAGCTTGGGCTGTGTGTGATCTCATCTGAAGGCTGTGCTGGAGCTGGGGGACCCACTTCCCAGGGAGCCTCTATGGCCTTGGCAGGAGTCTCGGTTCTGCTTCAGGTACCTCTCTAGAGCTGCTGGGATGTTAGCTGGTTTTCCTTAATGTAATAACCCAAGACAGGGGACATGGTTCCAAAAATGTCATTAGATCATGAAATTAAAAGAACTTCCCATATTTGTAATGATTATTTATGATGATTCACTCAAAGCTGAATATTAGTAATACTCCCAAATACAGATTTGGTAACCCACTACCTTCTATACTTTGGTTCCATCAGAAAGAAAATTAACTTCCAGGACAGTCTCTCTCTCTCTTTTTAAAAAAAATATATTTTATTGATTTTTTGTTTGTTTGTTTGTTTTTAATATATATTTTATTGATTTTTTACAGAGAGGGATAGAGAGTTAGAAACATCGATGAAAGAAAATCATTGATCAGCTGCCTCTTGCACACCCCATACTGGGGATGTGCCCGCAACCAAGGTACATGCCCTTGACTGGAATTGAACCAGGGACCTTTCAGTCCGCAGACCGACGCTCTATCCACTGAGCCAAACCAGTTTAGATTTTTTATTTTTTACAGAGAGGAAGGGAGAAGGATAGAGAGGTAGAAACATCGATGAGAGAAAATCATTGATCAGCTGCCTCTTGCACACCCCCTACTGGGGATGTGCCCGCAACCAAGGTACATGCCCTTGACTGGAGTTGAATCCAGGACCCTTCAGTCCCCAAGCCAACGCACTATCCACTGAGACAAACTGGTTAGGGCCAAAGTCTCTTTTTGACCTCTGGTTTACAAATATGATGTTTGGGAAAGAAGATCTTGTTAAAATAAGTTATTTGGAAGGAATTGGGACTTAAGCATCAATAAATGGATTTGGTTCAGAAGAAGAAAAGGGGGTGTGGTGATGCCTATGGAAACTGATCCTGGAAAAATAAGGGGTAGGGGGTCAGGCTCCTAGGAGGGTCTAGGAGTTTGATCTGAGAAGTCTCCTCCCTTCTTTACCTTTGTCTCCCTGTTTCCTCTTCTATAACTTCCTATTTTCTTTAACATAATTACCCCTCCCATCCCACCTCATTCCATTTCTAAGCTGTCCAACAGATACTTCTTGTAATAAATCTGGATCTAAATTAGCCAAGGGAAAATAGATATGACAAAAAACATATGTGAAGGTGCTGAAACACGGTAGTTAACATAAGGAGTATAAAATAAGGTAAAAATAGGTATCATGCAATACTGGATTACTATAACACCAACTGGAACTTAAAAGTAACAGCAAGGTCATGGGGAAATGGGGCTCTCTTTGTTCATCTGTTCTCAGGTGGGGCAGGAGAAGGAGTTCCATCAATAAGATATGTAACAACCTTAGACAGGAGAGAAAAACAGGCTACTGGTAAGTTTCTAAAATCTGTAAAAGTCACTTACTTAGTAGTAAAGAGGACAGCTTCAACATTCATTTTCTCCCAAGCACATTCCTCACAACTTTCACAGACCTCATCATTTCTCCAACCTGCTAGTTAACCTCATTTTCAGCAAATGAACTGACCTGAAAGTCTAAGGTCTGAGCTCCTTTCACCATAGAGAACCAGGGTTCCACTTCCCTGCCACCAATAACCTCACCACCCAACCCAATGAATGATTTAAAAGAAAAAAAAGTATTTTTACTGATTTTTAGAGAGATAGAGGAAGGGAGAGGGATAGAGAGACAGAAACATTGATGAGAGAGAAAAATCATCAGTTGGTTGCCTCCTGCCTGCAGAGTTTAAGCCCACAACCAGGCATGCGCCTGAGTGGGAATCAAACTGATGATCTCTTGGTTCCTGCGTTGACGCTCAACCACTGAGCCACACCAGTTAGGCTTGAGCCAATGATTAAAATAAATAAATAAATAAATATATATATTATACACACACACACACACACATATTTCTTTATTGATTTCAAAGATGAAAGGAGGAGAGATAGAAACATCAATGATGAGAGAGAATCATCGATCAGCCGCTTCCTGCATGCCCCCCCACTGGGGACCGAGCTCAAAACCCAAGCATGTGCCCTTTGCCAGAACTGAACCTGGGACCCTTCAGTCCATAGGCTGATGATTGAGCCAATAATTTTATCCAGCCAAAATATTAAGGTCTAACTTTCCACTGAACATTCAATACTTTCTCTGTAGTTATTTAGATTGACCTCTAGTTGCCACCTAAACTCAACAACTTCTAAGTGAAACTTGAAACTTGATCTTTTCAAAGTCTTCCAGTTGCCCTTAAGATGAAGTCAAAACTCCTTGGTTTGGTGCTGACAGTTACAACCTGGGACTATCCGGAATTTCTCATTTCTCATATTGACTCTCAATGCCTCCCCACTATGGACTCTTTGATTTTCTCACTGTACTCTATACACACCAAACTTATGCTGTCTTCCTGGTCCAGAAACACATCAGTCCATGAAGTCCCAACACTGCAAGCTAAGTCTTCTCCCTACCATTGGTTCTATAGCACTTATTTTTAGAATAACACATTTTGTCTTCTGATTTAGTAATTTGTTATACATTGTCTTGTTCATAAATTTCTCATCTCCCCCAAAATATTGTAATATTTTTGAGAACACAGCCTATATCATATATAGCATTTCTTTTGTATACTTACAAAAATAAACCCTTTGTTATATAACCCTTAACAAATAATATCATGCTTAAGGTCAAAACAGGTTCTTTAACCCTGGCTGGTTTGCTCAGTGGATAGAGCATCAGCCTGCAGACTGAAGGGTCCCAGGTTCAATTCCAGTCAGGGGCACATGCTGGGTTGCAGGCTCTCCCCCAAGTGTGGGGCATGCAGGAGGCAGCTGATCAATAATTCCCTTTCATCGTTGATGTTTCTGTCTCTCTCTCCCTCTCACTTCCTCTCTTAAATCAATAAAAATATATTAAAAGAAAAAAACAACAATAAATTTTTTTATAGGTATTCACTGAATAGTCCTTTTTTGTTGTTGTTTTCTGTATTTTTGTTTTTGTTTTGTGGGGATGTGTGTGGAAGCCTATCAAAAAAGCCACATCCACCTGCATTCCAGCAAACACACTAAGGTCTGGTGAAAGGATCAAGACTTCAAAACTAAAATAATTTTAATTTCAAGTAGGCTTAAAATAACTCATATCTTCATTCACAAATGTTATATAACCAGAGCTGGACCCATACAACACTCTAATGTCTTCAGGAGGAATTGAAGCTGTTCTTTTCTGGGCACAGATGTCACAGTCTGACTGTATTTTATTAGTGAGCAATAGATTAAGTCTGGTTAAGACTTTATATAGAAAGCTGTTTGTCTTCCACTTTGCTATGTTAAACAAGATATAGCAAAAAACATTTCCACTGAATGAAATATGAAGTTTCCCCAAACAGACTTCCATTCCGCTGACAGAACATGGAATATATTATAGTGTAGTAGAAAACACACTGAATCTGGAGTCCTAGTCTGGCTTTCTCCTCACTAGCAAGGGGATTTTGGGCAGATTGTTTTAAGTCTCCGAGGATCACCTTCCTTATGTATAAAATGGAAATTGCGCCCAGCCGGGGTGGCTCAGTGTTTGAATGTAAATCTATGAACCAGGAGGTTCGATTCTGTCAGGACACATACCTGGATTGCAGGCTCTGTCCCCAGTTGGGGTGCATGCAGGAGGCAGCCAATCAATGACTTTCTCTCATCACTGATGTTTCTATTTCTCTCTTCCTCTTCCTCTCTCTCTCTCTCTCTCTCTCTCTCTCTCTCTCTCTCTCTCTCAACATAGAATAGAAAATAGAAGTGTTGATTCCTTATACTTGTGTCATTTACACTTTTATTTATATTCTTAGTATAAACTCATGCACTCTTTCCCCCCCATTGTGTTCTAATGTATTACTGTCATTATCCATGTTGATATTTCTATCAGTTCCTTATTGTGTTTCTATTTGCGTGGCTCTTGAGGGCCAGAGAGCCTCCAGAGTGTAAAACCTTTTACATACCCCATCTTGCCTCATCATAAAATCTTTTTTATTATTATTTAAAATCTTGACTATCAAAATCAAACATTTTAAGTGGCTCACAAGACCCTTGGGATTCTTGCCTTGCTTACCCCTCAGGGCTCCTGTGCCCACTTCCTCCTCATTAACTTGACTTTATGCTTTGCTGTGTTCAAACACTTCTGTTCTCTGACCAGGTCTGGTCTCTCCCTTCCTTCTGGGCGGTTTGCTGGCAGCACCCCCACTCCTGTCTCTCTGGCTTTGGCTATTAGTTATCACTTTCTCTGACTCCTTCCCAAGCTGGCTGCAGCCCTTGCCATGTGCCTGCTACCTGGGCACTCTGTGCATACTCCATAGTCATACTTATTCCTCTTTATCCCTCACTGCTCACCTGACTTCTGGTCTGTGCTGTGCATCTCCCCAGAACTTAGTACAGCCTCCATGTAGAGGGCCACCTGGGGAGGCACATGGGCATTTCTTTTCATTGTTGCCACCTGAGACTGAGACGATTGGCAGAGCTGCGTCTAGAATACACATTTCCCCAAGATGGCGGAAAGTGTAATCAGCTTGGCCTTCATATTAGCCTAGGTGTTGGCAGGGGCAGGACTAGATATGTAAATCCAGGCATGCTAGGGTCTACTTAAGAATGAAAATAAGTTGGTGTTACTTCCTGGCATTGGGGTATAAAATAAATGCGCTGGGATCTTCCTGCCTCTCCAGCAGACAGAATGGCGGCCCACCCAGCTCCCAGCTTAAAATCTATCTGTGTGTCTTCTCTCTTTATTTCTATTATTTCTCAATCCCTGGCCACCTCCACTTAGAACAGATTCATTCATCTCTCTTTCTGTGCGGGACTTGGAAAAGGGAGATCCCTGCCATGTCTGGCCCCTGCCGCATCAGGCCCTCAAACCCCCGGAGGTAGAGTAGGGACTTGCTGAGTATTTAATTAATTAGTAAATGAATAGTTCTACACTATTCTATGTAATAAAAGAGTAATATTCAATTTATTTATTTATTTATTTATTTATTTATTTATTTATTGATTGATTGATTAAGCATGCTAGAATTTATTACAGTTTCGAATCCGGGCTCAAACCTTGGCTGACGCAGCAGCTGGCAAACACCCAGGTGAGAGCCCCGATGGAGGGGCAGTCCCTCCAGAGCGCTCACACAAAAACACAGACAAACACACACCTACCGCGGCCAGTCAGGCTCTCCGGACCGGGGTCCCTCATGGTCCTGGCTGGGGATACCAGACGAATTCGTGATCCCCAAGGACCACCAGGGAGCCGAGTCCGATGAAATAAGCAAAAGAGCCATCTCCATGCTAGCATGGGCTGTCCCACTCACGCCGGCAGCATGGCGGAAGAGCTAATAAGAGTAATATTCAATTTAACCATCACTCAGCTATACCCATAAACCACATCCACAAGCTACTCCCACCAGCCAATCAGGAGCAAATATGCAAATAAACCCAACCAAGATGGCTACAGCCACAGAGAGCAGGAGGGAGGCTTGGGTTTCCCAGGCAATGGAGAAAGCCAACCTTTCTGCACATCCTTGCCGGCCTAGGCCTCCACTCAAGGCTACAAAGTTTCAATGATAGAAGATACATAAATCCAAACAGAGCCGAAACTGGTTTGGCTACGTGGATAGAGCATCGGTCTTCGGACTGAAGGGTCCCAGGTTCGATTCTGGTCAAGGGCATGTACATTGGTTGCGGGCTCATCCCCAGTAGGGGGTGTGCAGGAGGCAGCTGATCGATGTCTCTCTCTCATAGATGTTTCTAGCTCTCTATCCCTCTCCCTTCCTCTCTGTAAAAAATCAATAAAATATATCAAAACAAAACAAAACAACAACAACAACAACAAAAAACCCAGAAATGGCGGCACCATGGAGCTGGAAAGAATGGGAGGCTAGGGTTTTTCCTGGTGATAGAGGAAGCCAAGCTTTCTGCACATCCTGGCCGGCCCAGGTCTCTGCTTAAGGCTACAAAGTTTCAATTATAGAAGATGCATAAATCCCAAAAGAAAGCTTGGCTCTGCTCCAGGCTACAAAGTTTCAATTGTAGAAAATAAATAAACCCCAGATACCAGGGCCTCTGCTTGGGTTGCCAGGTGTGTGGCCAGCCTGCAAACCACTATAGTCCCCTCTCCCAGGCCACCCCATGCCCCAAGGGAACCCCCATCCTGATCCGGGACATCTTTCAGGGCAAACCAGCCAGCCCCCACCCGTGCACCAGGCCTCTATTCTATCTAATAAAAGAGTAATATGGTCGATGTTTCTAACTCTCTATCACTCTCTCTTCCTCTCTGTAAAAAATCAATAAAATATATTTAAAAAAAAGAGCAATATGCACATTGACCATCACTCCAACACACAAGATGGCTGCCCCATGTGGACACAAGATGGCCAGCAGAGGAAGGCAAGTTGGGAGGGACTAGGCCTGCAGGAGAGGGCAGTTGGGGGTGATTAAGCCTGCAAGGGAAGGCAGTTAGGGGTGATTAAACTGGCAGAGGAGGGCAGTTAGGGGGGACCCAGACCTGCAGGGAAGGGCAGTGGGAGGGACCCAGGCCTGCAGGGGAGGGCAGTTAGGGGCAAACAGGCTGGCAAGGGAGCATTTAGGCATCAATAAGGCAGAGGCAGGGGATCAGTTGTGAGCAGTCCTGGACTGTGAGAGGGATGTCTGACTGCCTGGTGGGATTGGGCTTAAACGGGCAGTCGGATATCCCTCAACGGGCCCCAGATTAGAGAGGGTGCAGGCTGGGCTGAGGGACACCCCCCCCCCCCCCATGCACAAATTTTGTGCACTGAGCCTCTAGTTAGAAATAAAATTTGTGCATAGCAACTGAGTTTGCTAATATCCTGGTAAGATAATTTTCAATAATGGAAAATAAAACATGGATAAAGGTATTTTGTTTTGTTTTGTTTCTTTTTTCACAGCAAAGAAAAGCCCCTGCTGGCGTGGTTCTGTGGTTGAGTGTGAACCTATGAACCAGGAGTTGACGGTTTGATTCCTGGTCAGGGCACAAGCCTGGGTTGCAAGCAGGATCCTTAGTGTGGGGCATACAAGAGGCAGCTAATCAATGATTCCTTCTCATCACTGATGTTTCTATCTCTCTGTCCCTCTCCCATCCTCTCTGAAATCAATAAAAATATTTTTAAAAATAAGAGGCATTATTAAAATTCCCTTTAAAAAAAAAAAAAAGAAAGAAAAGGTTGTTCCCATATATTAGCTAAAATTTAGGCTTTAATGAGAGAATAATGTCTTGCTTTTCTCATTGGTTAAATCAACAGACATTTTTAACGAGGTCCCATGTCCCCACCCTCCACCCTCCACATGGTGCTAGATATCACTCTTATGAGCCTCCTCCCCTGTTTGGCAGACAGTCATGTAAATATCGTTATAGCAGCTTTCACAGAGCTATGAACAGACTGCTAAGAGGATTCAGAGTGAATTGGAAAAGATTTATGGTTGACATTTGAGCTGTAGTTTGAGAAATTAGCAAGATTTTAACACAAGTGGAAGCCGAGGAAGGACAACTCCCAGCAGAGGAAAAAGCACAGATAAAAGGACACTAAAGGAGCACAGTGCTCAGGAACGAAAACACGCCCTACCCTCAACTTCAGGAACAACAAACATCTGGGAACCCATAATTCTGTTTTGTTCTGGTCTTTAGCAGGACTCACCACACACTATGGCAACTGTCAGTTGATTGGCCTTTCAGTAACCGATAAGGTCCTATAGTGTAAAGCCTATGGATTATTCCCACCTACACCCAGGAAGCACTGCAGTGATTTCGAAATACTTGCTACTTGAGTGTGATTGAAAAGTTAGGGTGTCTGACCTAGGGCTGGATGGGACAGACTGAAGAGGCTTGGGCCTTCTAGTCCATGGAACACCATGTGGACTTCACCCTCTGGGGCAGACAACAAGTCTTGTGGGTTAGTGGCTTTTTTTTTTTTTTTTTTTTTTTTTTTTGCTTTTAAAAAATATATATTTTATTGATTTCAGAGAGGAAGGAGAGATAGAAACATCAATGATGAGAGCAAATTATTGATTGGCTGCCTCCACCTGGGGATTGAGCCCCTGGACATGTGCCCTGACATGGAATCTAACCATGAGGCTTTTTAAGGAAATGTCTGTTGGCATAATGAGTAAGGAGACCTGGAACCAGAGACCAGCCTCCATGCTATGGAAACAATTGGGAGAGGAGTAAAACCATCCTTAGAGGGAGAAGGAAAGGGTTTTTAGGTAGGATCGGTAGGACTTGTAACTATTTGACATGATTTGAGAAACTTTTGTTAAAATGGTTTTTAAAAGTTGATCTTGGGGCTCTCTCTCCCCTCACTCTTCTTTCCCCACCCACCTTTAAGGGACCCCCCTCTCACCTGTAAGGGACCCCATGAGACTTGCAACCAGGAGAGCAATGGGCAGGGGCAGCTTGTCCTGGGCTAATCCCCTGAACCTGTCTCCAAGGCCACCTTTACCCTTCCTCCCCCCTTTCTCTGACTTCCCAGTGAGCCAAGGCAGCCCTGCCTAGGGTCTCCCGCTACTTCTATGTGCTTCATTGTTTCACTGTCCTAAGTACATTTTTGCTGTGCTTAATAACTTCTTGCTTGCTTTAAAAAAAAAAAAAAAAAGGTGGATCTTACTTTTTAAAGTAGAAATGTTACAAACATGTATTTTATGTTACAACCTCACATCCCAAGGTGAAAATGGATGTTTCATTTGAATCAAGTGTCAAAACAACACACACAAACAATCATAGAGGAACAAAAAAGCCCAGTGTTGATTGTTCAGGAAGGATCACATGACATGAACAGAAAGTAAGAGATGCCATTTAAATACAGTGTTTTCTATCATTTAAGTTTGTAGTCTTTTTTTTTTTTTTTTTTTTTTTGTAATTGAGGAATTTGACTGTATAGCAAGATGAAAATCTAACTTATCAACTTTAGAGAATTATCCCTGGTCTCTCACAGGCAGACCACATCACTGGGCCCAGGGATGATGTCACCAGGAAGCCTAGAGGCCTTAGTCTCAAAGGTTACAAGTGGACCTGAGCATAGAGGAGGCACCTGAGAAGGGCTCTGCAATGTATCCAACAGGCAGGTTCTCTTGGAAAGTGAGCTTTCAACGTTGTTCCCCCCCAGCCCCCCCTAAAATTTGTAAATGATGTCAGTGTTAGAAGAAATATCAGCCTTTATGTGGTTATTCTCCTTCAAGACAGTATCGTGAATATTATTATTCAACTTACAAGTGTCTTAGAGCTGGAATGTGAAAACACATCACAGAGCAGGAAGCATCCCACACTGATGACAATCTTGTGACCCTACCAATAGATTCCCGTAAGTCCAGAATGTAGATATACATCAGGAAGAACCAATAAGAAGCATGGGTGCACCGAAAGTCTGGATCGAGTAACCCAGAAAGCCATCATAACAGGGGTCAAATCCTGTCATTTGGCCTAATTCATATGTAGGTCTACACACCATCAATAATCAATTAGAGCAGGTATACAGGAAATCAGGCAGCAAGTTGAAAAAAGGTGTACATGTTTTTCTTTTGTTTCTTTCTTCCCACAAAATGGTCAAGAGGTCGTGTTTGGGAAGATACCCGAATTTCCAGTACTCCCCCTGAAACCTTTGAGAAAATAGCTGACAGGCCGGAGAGCGAGGAGAGACTGAAGGCACCTGCGACCTGACCGCCTTCTCCTCAGCCGGCTCAGGGGGCTCCCGGACCTCCACTTGGGACGCCGACCGCCAGAGGAGAGGCCTGGGAAACGGGGTGAGGGGGCTGGGGTTCGCGGTCCGCCGAATCTCAGCGCTTCCCCAGGTCGCGGTGGGGCGCTGGGGAAGGCGGGGTGGGGCCGGGAAGCGTGGACAGGGCGGGGCGGGGCGGGGCGGTGTGCGCGGGGCGGGGCTGGCTACGTGCGCGCCCGCGCCAATCATCGGCGCCGGGGGAAAAGGGAGAGGAGATACGCGCGCGCGCGCGCGCGGATAGGCCAGGAGGAGAGGGGGGGCTGGACGCCTCGTGCGGCCAATCGAGATGCCGCACCTTCATGACGTAAGGCTCTCCCGGGCCGTGAGCGCCAGTCGGCGGACCTGGCGGCAGAGATCGCGGGCGCGCGGGCGCGCGGGCTGGCGGGGCGGGACTTCCGCCGAGTCCCGGAAGCGGGAGCTGTGTGTTCTCATGCGAACGGGAAGGAGCGTTGGGGCCCCGGAGTCGCGAGGTTGAGACATTTTCTGGCCCGAAACGGGAAGGAGCTGCTGCCGCCCGCCGTCAGCCCGCCCCGCGCTGTCCCCCGCCGCTCGCCCGGGCCGGCCGCGCCCCTGCTCCCGCCCCTCCCTCACGGCCCGTCCGCGTGTGGCGCGGTCGCCGGGCACCGGGGCTGCGGCGGTCGGCGGCCGGGCGGCGGAGGCGCTGACAGGTGAGCGCGGCGGGCCGGCAAGTCCAGGGCTCCCTTTTTCTCCCTCCGCGCTCTCCCCGCCGCCTCGGACCCGCGCCCAGCCCGCCTGTCATAGGCCGCCATCTTCCCGGAGGACGCGGCTGGCTGGGCGGCGGGCAGGACCGGGCCGGGCAGGGTCGGGCGTCGGGCTGGGTGGCGGCGCCTCTGCAAGGCCAGAGTCCAGGCTGGGGTCAGGGTCTGGGCCGGGTCCCGGCAGGGCGGAGGTCTGGGGCGGGCCGGGTGCCCGGTGAGATACAGACGGGGTCCGGCAGGGTCTGGGGTCGGGCAGGGGCAGGGCCTGTGTCGCAGGTCAGGGTCCGGGCAGGGCGGGGGGAGCAGTCCGGGGTCCGGCCAGGGCTGTGGTTCCGGCAGGAGCGTGGTCTGGAGTCCGGGCAGGACAGGGCAGGGTCTGGGCCCCTCCGCGGGTCCGGCCCGCACTGCGACGGCCTCGCCCCGGCCTCCGCCCCGGAGGAGGCCCGGGCCGCGGCTGGCCGGCCGGGGAGGGTGGGTGCAGGGTCATTCGGACCAGGAAGTGGGGATCCTGTTGCTCGGTGTGTGTTTGGGAAACTCCGGTTCTCTCGACAGGGTTGAGCAGAGGCAGATTGTGAAGGAATTAGAAGAATGAAATAAAATCTTAATATATCCGCTGTTCGAAATAGGGCCAGGAGACACGGTGGAGAAAGGGACAGGTTGGGAATCTCTTACCCACCTGCTTCTCCGTCTTGTCCAATCAGAATGTAAACTTGGAAGAGTTAACACTTGAGTGTAACTTTGTATTGCAATTCTTTGTGTAGCTAATATTACTCCCCCCCCCCCCCCGTTTTTTTTTTCTTTTGTGAAATGGTCCTTAATTTCGGCTGACATGAAACTTGAGGAAATTATCTGTAGGGTAACTCTTATGATTTCGAGAGCCCCTCCCGGCTGTGATGTAACTTGTCCTAATCTTAAGTGAAAGTTTGAAGTTTTGGATAGCTGAAAGAATGGAAGTATTTTCCTGGACTGTGCAGGGAAATTAGATTTTAAGTGTGAGGGGTTTTTAAAAAGATCATGCCAGCTTGAAGACGAATATTGTTAAGCGTACAAGCTATTTTCCTTTTTGAAAATTTTTTCTCTTTTGGTATTTAGTTGGTCTCTTAAGGTGTATTAAATATTTAAAACACACTCAAAATAGGTGCTGACTTAGTTTGCAAAGATGAAGGGGATGAGTTGAGAAAGAGTGATGTTCACCTCTCTGGGGTGGTCAGATAGTATTCGGCAAGGTGCAATTTCCAAGCTTCCCCCACCTGCCTGGCTCCCTTTAATTTACAGTCCCAGTAATTTACAGAAGTTGAAATGGTTATGGTTTTTCGACTTTCCTCTGTATTTAATATACTGAAAAGCAGTTTAAACTATAAAGAAATCGGTTGACTGAATTTTGCTTGAGTTGCTTAAAGTGAAATAATTTCTGAAGGCATCAGACTAGTAAATTTATTATTATTCAACCATAAATTTGTGTACTTCCCTTTGAAACTTGTGTTTGGTTAGAAATAAGTTTCATCTTGTATTTTGAAAAGTTAATATGAGATGCCTTATTTACACGAAATAATGGCAGGGCTTCTTGTTGATTAGAAATTACACTCTTGGGGCTTCACTTTTTTAATCTCTAAAGGGAATGGATGACAATATCAGCCTCATATGGCTGTTGGAACACATTGGTGTTGGCTGATTTTACTATTTTTTTAAATACATTTTTAATTCATGTCAGAGAGGAAGGGAGAGGGAGAGGAGATAGAAACATCAATGATGAGAGAGAATCATTGATCAGCTGCCTCCTGCACGCCCCTTCCTGGGGATGAGCCCAAAGCCCAGACATGTGCCCTTGACGGGACTTGAATCTGAGACCCTTTAGTCCGAAGGCCAATGCTCTATCCACTGAGCCAAACCAGCTAGGGCTATTTTTTTAAATTATTGAGATTGTTATTAAGAAATTTGAAAATGGTGCTTACCTTATTACTATTTTCAATATTCTTTCCGTGATTGACAATTTTAACTTATTAATAGAGATTTTAAAAAAAATTAATCACATGTATCTGGGCAGAGAAATCAGGTTCTGAGGACAGAAGGTATATTTGGAGAAAGGAGTCATAGCCAGACTATAGTAGTATTTGAGTAGGAGCCAGAGAGAAAACAGGCGATAATGTGGGTACAAAAGTTTGTAGTACTCATTTTAACATGTTTTGTAGAAGAGTAGCTGAAATTAAATGACAGCACATTCAGGAAGAAATTTGATTTTTTTGTAATGTTCCTAGAGATTGTTTTTAAAAAATATTGAGATTTGGAGATTTTATTGAACTTAATATGATTTCCACAAATGAGCACTTTTTGACAAATATATAGTTAAACTGTGGAAACAAATATTTTAGTCATTTGTGTGTTTTTTTTTTGAAGCAATCTTCATATATCATAAAACAATTCTAAAATATTTTAAGTGCAAGTTGGAACATCATGTTGTTAATGCTAATAAACAATAAACAGTGCCTGCAAATAGCCTCACTACTTACTCTACATGGATTTGCAACAATATTTACAAGTTTTTGTAGTGATATGATAGACCTGTGTGGTTGGTGTGGCTAGCCAAGAAGTGGCTGAGAAACTCCTTATTTCAGTGTCATGCTGGAGTTCATACTTTTGCATGATAACTAGGATTATAATCTAGGCCTAATTTTAGTAACGTGTTGTCTTTATGATGCTTCCTTGAGATTGCAAAAAGCTGTATAGATGTTAGTTTAAATCCATTTGCTGTTGTCCTAAAGTTAAAGACACAAGTTTTAAATATGCTTTCATTAACACATGCTTATACTCTTGCAGAGTTCTCATGCTTAAGGACTTTCTTTTTCAGATTGGTAAATGCAAGAAAACCTAAGAGTATATTCTTATAATTCTTTCTGTAAGACTGTTTCACTCAACCTTTTACTAACGGAGGAAAAAAAAACAGTGATGTTGCGTTTATGGAAATACATTGTTAAAAAACAGACACCACTGCAGGACTTTTTTTGTTTATGCTCTTTTGTAAAACTTTATTCCTGTAAAGAGTTCTCCTTTTTCTGTGAAAGCTAATTTTAGAGTATACAGTGAATAAGACACTGCCTTCTAAAAGGGTTAAACTCAACAGATAAGATTTTAGTTTAGTTCATTTTAAACTTTTTGCTCTTAATTGTTGCACTGGCTGATGTTTTTGGAACTACTCTACTTCTGGAATTGTCATGATTAGAAAGTGAATTTCTTTATTGGTATATGGAATTCTAAGGTAGAAACCATTAGGTTCTCCTATTAGAAGAAGGATGATAAATCCTAGTGTTCTAAAAATTTATTTTTTGAGTATGAATGTCTTCCTTAGAAACAGGAAGACATTTACTTAGCTTTTTCCCTTTTCCCATCAGTCAAGCTCCATACCTCTTATCCCTTCAATACCTTTATAAACACTGTCTTTGCACAATTTTTATGGTTAAGTTGTCATGGCTTTTGTGCCTCTGACAGGGTCTGGTTCCTTCTTTAGTGTCAGCCCTACTTCCCTGCTAGTGAGACCTAGGCCACAGAGTGCATTGTGTAACATGGAGGACATTTGATACTTGAATTTGAAAGCATGCAACTTAAGTTTTAGGGGGCATTTGATAATCATTAGGTAGGATAGTCTTCACTTGACAGTTCTTTACGAAATCTGAATTATGATGGTATTTATTTGCATGATAAAGATAAAATGCTCTCTTATTTATACACACCATTTAGTCACACGACAGCCAGAGGTTGTTTTAAAAGGTATATCCTGCCCTGGACACATAGTTCAGTTGGTTAGAGCAGCAGTCGCCAACTGGTGATCCGTGGACCATTGGTAGTCCGTGAGGTCCAAAAGGTTGGTGACTTCTGGGCTAGAGTGTCATCCTGACATGCCAGGGTTGCAGGTTTGATCACTGGTCAGGGCACATACAAGAAGCAACCAAAGAATGCATAAATAAGTGGAACAACAAGTCAATCTTTTTCTTTTTCTTTCTCCCCCCTCTCTAAAACCAGTCAATCAATCATTCAATCAAATAAAATAGTAGAATCTTTAAAAAACTCCTTAAGAGTGACTGTCCCCTTCCTAAATAAGAAGTCCTGCCCTACTGGTTTGGCTCAGTGAATAGAGCGTTAGCCTGCAGATTGAAGGGTCTGGTGTTTGATTCTAGTCAAGGGCACATGCAGGTTCGATTCCCAATAGGAGGCATGCAGGAGGCAGCCAGTCAGTGATTCTCATTCATCATTGATATTTCTATCTTCCTCTCCCTTCCTCTCTGAAGTCAATGAAAAAAATATTTTAAAACAAACAAACACCAAAACAACAAAATATTCAGCCTGGCCAGTGTTGCTCAGTGGTTGAACATCAACCCATGAACCAGGAGATCAGAGCTCAATTCCCATTCAGGGCACATTCTGGGAGTGTGCAGGAGTTGGTTGATCATGATTCTCTCTCATCATTGAAATTTCTCTCTCCCTCTCCTCCTTCCTCTCTGAAATCAATACAATATATTTTAAAAAAGAAAGAAAAAAAGAAAAGAAAAGAAGTGCCCAGGCCCAGAGCAAAACAGGCTTAGCCCTCTGGGGCCTTTCTTCTCTGCCTTCTCCTTGCT